TTTTCCAGGCTACCAGCAGGGAGTTGGATGGGAGCAGCCAGGACATGAATCAGTGCAGATATGGGATCCTGGCATTTGCAAGGCTAGAATTTAGGCACTGAGTGACCATGCCTGGCCCCCAGGTGCTACATTTTAAACTTAATCATATAATTTGAAGGTCTTAGAAGGAAAGGAGAGGATATTTAATAGATATTTTATAAGCTTTTCCTTTCTCCCCTGACAATATATTTGTACATGTTGTCAGGATTGGAGGAGGAAAATGGCAGAATACAGATAAGAGAGTGGTTAAATATCATTCTCATCCTTCCATATGTCTTTTATAGAAGTAAGAAGTGGTAGAGTGTCTCATTTTCCAAACCTTTAGTTCCTCATTTAGGCCCTCTTTTTAAAAAATTATTATTATGTTTTAACATTATTTACATATTTGAGAGGGATGAACGCCCATGTGTAGGCTCTCCTTTTTCTTCCCTCACTTTATGAGGCAGATTTTGAATTGAAATGCCAACGGCATCACAAACAACTTCAAGAGTGAATTGAAATGATGGTTTTTGGCCCTATAGGCTGCCCTAGTTCTGAATGAGCAAATTGGATAGATTTGGTACTCTTTACATTTGGAACACTGTGATTTGAATATTATGTCCTTGAACGTGGCTTCTTGTGTGTTCACATCTCAGTTTTCGGTGCAAGAGCATTATTTTTGAAGATGCATTTGCGAGAAGCAGCCAGCAACTTCTGTTCCTTTTGTAGACAAGTCATCTACTTTGGTAGCGCTTAAAATAAAGTACTCAGATAGAAGGTAAGTTGAAACAGACAACAAGCAATATAATACAAAATGTTATGAGTAAAGTGTGTTACTCAGATCCTTCTGAAATACATTTCTCCCTTTATTTTGAAGGCCACGGTATAGGCAACTTGGCTAATGGAACCATCCTCTTCCTTTGATCATCAATAGGGTTATCTTTTCGGGAAACTAAGTCCCAGCTCAGATGGCAGTTTTCACTGAGACTGACATGAAAGAGAGAGGGACTGTTTAATTATTATCTGTCTGAACAGTGTGTCTTTTTCTTCCCTCTTGAAATTAATAATTTTTCAGTTGAAGCCGCAAGCAGGAGCACCATCAGGTCTTTCGGGCGGGCTGGGGAGAACACTCATTTGATGTTTTTGCTTTCCTCTGGATGGTGTGCGGGATCTGGCTTTATGTGTCATCCTTGCAGACAGCTCTAGCCTGCTGGTCCTGGGTGATGGACTTGAGTTAAATGAGAATCCAAAGTAGATGCTGTGTGGATGCCTTTAATTTCCTCAGGTTTGGGGGACATTTGGGAAGGTATGAGGCAAAAAAATCTGGCGTAGAGTAGATGTTCAACGAATTCTGGGATGAATTGGGTGTTTGGTTGGTGAAGAACAAGGGTTGAGGCTGTGCTAGGCTGGTTTCAGAAACTGCTTTCCATTTTCTTCTGTGTGTCCGTCTGTGCTGGGGTGGAGTAACAGGGACTACAACCCTTACATACATGCCACGCAGCACAATAGCCATTACTCAGAACGTGGCACCTGGATTACGCTAGTTTCAACTGGGATGTGCAGTAAGTGTGAAAAACACACTGGATTTTGAAGATTCAGTGTGAGTGTAAAAACTCTGATTAAGATTATTTACATTGATTAATGTTGAGTCGTGTTGTTAGTGATACATATGGTTTAAACAAAATACATGACATGTCATCCATATCTTCCTACTTTTAAAACATAATTCTTTCTTTAAAAAAAAAGATTTATTTATTTATATTGGAAAGGCAGCTCTACAAAGAGAGGGATAAAGATATTCTGCAACTGCAAAGCTGCAGCTGAGCTGATCCGAAGCCAAGCTCCCAAAGCCTCTTTTGGGTCTCCCACGCGGGTGCAGGGTCCCAAGGCTTTGGGCCGTCCTCCACTGCTTTCCCAGGCCACATGCAGGGAGCTGGGTGGGAAGCGGGGCGCCAGAATTAGAACCATCGTCCATATTGGATCCCGGGGAAGGCAAGGACTTACACCACTAGGCTATCGCGCCGGGCCTAACTCCCTGTTTTTGGAATTTAACTAATAAAAAATTCGAGATTGCCTGTATTTTTATTGATGAGCGTTGATTTGGACTTGAGAGAAAACCAAGCAATGAAACAGCCGAGATTTTAAAGAAGAAAATGTTCTTCACGCCGGTCCTAGTCGCAGTCTTTCCAAGTGGTGTAAAAATTTACAGTGACTCTCCCTTCCCAGCCTCTCCCCGCAACACCTGGGCTGCACTGAGGCCTGTGCGCAGTGGGCAGCCGGGGACAGCTGCTGGCTAAGATTGCTTGCTAAGATTGAATCTCAGCAAAGGACTGGACAACGTGGACCCCCTTCCCTCCACCGCGGGAGGAGGATGGACTGGCACAGGTGGGGCAGGGGACAGCAGTTACAGCCTGGTTCTGCGAACCCCAGACTTTCCTCCGCCAAAGAGCCCGGAAAACACTCGGACTTCGCCAGCCTCGCGACTTCCCCAAGGGCCCGGGACGTGGCGCCGAAGGAAGCTGGAGATCGGAAAGCTGGGTGCACAGCTCCGGCGCAATCTGGTGAGAAGGGGTCGCCCTCCGAGGCAAGAAGGACGCCTCCACCAGCGTGCCTCTGCTGCAGCCGCCGAGCTCCCAGGGCCCGCTGTGGTCCTGGCGGCCTGGTTTGCACCCAGCCGAGGAGCTTTTGTTTCCCAGCATCTCGGTCCTGGAGGTCCTGCTTCTCCCTGGACCGATGCAGTGTCCTCTCCCGCCCGCTGGGGCCTTGCGAGGAGTGGGCAGCCAGACTCCCGAGGGAAGTGCCGTCACCTGTCTCGCCGCCAGCACGCGTGGCTCCGGGAAGGGCTGGCCTCGGCGTGAGCAGCGCCAGCCGCGGGGAGCAGGGCCTCGGGGAGACCGCCTCTGCTTTGGGGGAGCAGACCGAGGTCGCCAAGGCCAGCTCCCGTTCCCCTTTGCTGTTAGCACACACACACACACACACACGCCTCCAGCGCTAAGTTCTGAGGGAGGGTTTGTACAGTGCCCCGGTCAAAAAGCCACCCGTGCAGGTTTTTAACTATTCCCCTCTCTTACAGTGACATTCATTCATCTGTTTACTCGTGCTAGTTTACTCATGTTAGTCCCCGCCCCAGGACAAAGCTAAGATCCCGCCCCCAGTGCTGGGTGTAAAAACGACGCTCTCCGGTTGGGGATGGCCTCGGGGTGGTACGCTCATGCAGCCCTCAGCAGCCATGCAGGGTCTCAGGGGACAGCGCGGACTGGATAGGAACAAACTCACGCCGGGAAGGGACACCTGGCTGGTGTGGACCTTCGCCCTAGCACACTAATCTCTACTTCCTCCAGCCCCTGCAAGGGAGAGGGAGTGACTTCCAGAAAGTCTGTTATTCCCCCTCCATCACCATCTGGTTCTGGGTCTCCAGTTCTTATTTATAAACACACACACACACACACACACACACACACACACACACACACACACGCCCCAGACTCCAGGACAAAGTGTTCATTAAAGTGTCCGCTTGCCAAGATCTTATTTTAAGGCTCTCTCCCTTATTCTCCTGCTCTGTGTACGATTTTTACCAGGTCATCTGTATGGAATAGGACACTTCCACTTCCTGGAGCACAGCGGTTTGGGGCCTAATTGATTCTGGTAATTAATTTGTTCTACCTGCTACATCAGATGTAAATCCTACTCTCACACCCAAGGATTAGCACTTGGCTTTCTAACACCTCCCCTAATTATCTAATAGTATGGGTTGTGTGGACTCAGTCTCTATTAAATCACTTTTACTATTAACAGTAGTGATTGGAATTGTGATGATGACTAGATTTCTACAAATTAGAGCTTAAAAATGGGGAGATGGAAGAGAAGTGGCTTCTTTTAATTTCCCTGAGTTTAACATCAATAATTAGAGCAATTTTCGGAGATGTGAGCCAAAATTATCCTTGCTGTGTTGTGGATGATCACCTTAATTTCAGCAAATTGACTCCAGGGAAAATAAATGTGATAGATTAGAAAAAGACAAACAGGAAAAACAAAAGATTGGGGAGGGAAATGAAAGGAAAGAATTTGGAAAAAGGACTCTGAGACAAGAACTTAGGACTTAATTATTTTGGGAGACTAGGGAAGAAATGGGACGTATAGTAGAAATGAAAAAAACTGACTGAAACAAGATGGAAGTTTGAGAGGATATAGAAGTTGGCAATTAGAGGTCAAGCGGTCTGTTTACAAAGATCAAATCACTTGACTAACCCAGGTAGATATAACTGTATCCTACCCATTTCCTCTGAGCTGAGAAACTTGGGGTCATTATAATTTTCTTTATCTACCCTTCCAGCCATCAACTTCGGCTGAGTCTAGCAACTTAGAGGTAGTGGACGCTGTTTCTCCTCACCTCTCCCCCTTTTCTTTCTGCCATCAGGCAGTCAAACTCTTAGACTGCCTTAGAGTCCAGGCCCAAATATCTAAGTAAGTGATTTGTCCCCATTGCTCTGGGGCCCGTTTAGTGCCTTTTCTCTACAGAAGAGTTTGCAGGAAAACAGACTTTATTCTTTCATCTCTCTTTTTAAAAATGACCGGGAACAAAGTAGCTCTTGCCTTAGCAGGTCAGAATTCGCGGTGGGAAGCCTGGCAGTCAATCGCCTTGGCTCTCTCCAGGCTTGGCCAGGAGCATCCAGCACCGCGGACAGCGCCCGCCCCGCCCCAAGCCCACCGCACCCTCCCCTCTGCCTCTGGCAGCCTCGCTATTGGCTCTCTCGACTTCCCTCTCCAAGCTGCCAATTTTCCAACACATAAACCCAACCTACCCAGGAGCTTGTCTTGTGGCTTCTCCAGCGCCCGGGGTAGCCCAGGCCGAGTAGGGAACAGCGCAGATCCGAGCCTCGAGAGAAGGTGGCTGGAGAATCTCGACCCAGCGTGCGGAGCTGCCTGCTTCTACCTTCTGTCTGCAGCCCTCGTCCTGTGTGGCAGCGGCTCCGCTGGAAATGAATCTCAACTTCACCTCTCCTCTCCATCCTGCGTCTTCTCAGAGGCCCACATCCTTCTTCATCGAGGACATCCTGCTGCACAAGCCCAAGCCGCTGAGGGAGGTGGCCCCCGACCACTTCGCCAGTTCCCTGGCCTCTCGGGTGCCTCTGCTAGACTATGGCTACCCACTCATGCCCACACCTACCCTCTTGGCTCCTCATGCCCATCACCCCCTGCATAAGGGCGAGCACCACCACCCTTATTTCCTGACCACCTCGGGTAAGTTACCAGGGCCCACAAGACGTGGGCAACCAAAGAGCAGGTTAAGGCCATGGTCAGCTTGGGCTGGCAGGGCAGCCTCCGTTCCTAAGCGGCAGAGGAAGGCTGGGGATGCTGCTTAGAGCCTACGGAGCTCCCTGGGGTGTATCATGCTCACTCCACATTTGCAAGGACAGAGGAGAGGTCCTTGGCCCGAGGCGATGGGAGGTGAGGATGATCTAGATGGATAGTGTTCAGGTCTATCAGTGATCTCCATGGTCCTCTTGGTCCCTCTGCCCTATCAGAGGGAGATTCAACTTTCCAACTCAGGAGCTGAAAATGTCCCTGCTGGGCAGCTCTCTCTCCTTCCACTTGCTGAGTGTTGGCAGGTCCTGTGGAGGGTATAGGAGTGAAGGGGGGCTTTGGGTTGGCCTGAGTATGGGGAGAGAGGGAAGCATCTGGAGGAGCCCTTCAGCCATCATCACACCCACACCCCTAGCGTTTAACTCCCACTCTGGGGCCGGGGTTCCTTGCTGTGCTCCAGCTGCTGGGGTCCCTGCAGCAGGGTGCTATAACATTTTGATTTTGGTAGTCTGGGGAGCAACTCGACCAGGGAAAATTCCAATTTTCCCTTTCTTTTCAAGAGGACACAGCCATGCTTTCTTCACCAGCATTTTCAATCCAGTCTGAGTAGAATAATTCATTGCATCCTCATACTGAGAACAGCAAAGAAAACAATCGCGTTTTGGGCAGGTACTGGGAGGGGACAAGAGGCAATCTGTTGGCACTGGAATCTGGAACAAAAGGCAAACGTGTGGCGTGTGAACACCCTGATTCTGGGGGTATTGGCGTGGAAGTTCACATCCCACACCCTGGCATTGGATCTGTCACCTGCCAGGGCTCTGTCCCATACAGCAGAGGTCAAATCGGAGATGGAGGCTGTTTTTGTTTTTCCCTGTGGGAATGGTTGATATTGAAGTCTGTGGCACCGTCTATCTGCTTGATGTGTCTAGATACGGAGTAAAGCTTTTCTGGATACGGAGAAACAAGCAAAGACCCAACCCTCTCCTGCCCCAGCTTGCCAGGAAATGGTTCTTTAACATGTTAATTTTCGTTTTGTTTTGTTTTGTTTCCTGCTGGGCTTGCAGTCCGAGGGAAGGAGTGAGAATTTGCGGACCAGATGGACATAGCAGTCTCCTGCTCCATCCTTGAAACGGACTAGGGGACCAGAAAAAGGAAATTACCTTCCTTTAAATTAGCCTAGTACTAGCTGCCAAGCCTCCCTGGCTAAGAGTTTTTGCTCCTTTCCCTCTGACTGCGGGCGGATTCGGGAGGCTCGGGAAATGGGCCTGTGCTTATAGTGTGCCTGGGAGCTAAGATCTCATGCAGTTCCATAGGAGCACCGAGTGTGATCGGCGCCTGGGAGGAGCGGTGACCGCCGGTGGACCATCAGAGGTTTGCCAGAAAACTTAGCTAGGTGCCAACAGCAGACTTGATACGGGCAGATACGGGCAGACTCTACCCAAGTCTCTCCAAGAAATCTCTTTTTTTTTTTTTTCTAAAAGGTCTCCGGATCTATTTTCCAATTTCCCTGTCCATTTCACGAAGCTGCTTATTTTATCGTTGCTATTATTTGGTATTTCTAGCTGGCCTTACGCTTAAAGATCTCCAAGCGCTGTTTTCCTGACTTTCCCCACCTCTATCCCTGACCCGAGATTCCTGGGAGAAGAGCTTGCAGCCGCTTTGGGATAAGCCGGGTTACTAGTGGAGGCCAGAGGCGCAGTGGGGAGCAGGGCCCCGGCTGCGGACGGCGCGGGGCGGAGGTCGTTCCCCGGCAACCCCGGCCCCTCCGCGCACCTCGCCGTTCTTGTCTCCGCAGGGGTGCCGGTGCCCGCGCTCTTCCCGCACGCCCAGCATGCCGACCTGCCGGGGAAGCACTGCCGCCGAAGGAAAGCCCGCACGGTTTTCTCCGATTCGCAGCTCTCGGGCCTGGAGAAGAGATTCGAGATCCAGCGCTACTTGTCCACACCGGAGCGGGTGGAGCTGGCCACGGCTCTCAGCCTGTCCGAGACGCAGGTGGGCGAGAGGAGAGCGAGGTTCCCCCAGCTCGGCACTCCCAGGTCCCCTTCCGGATGCACTGCAGAATGACCTCACGCCTCCTTCTTCCCGACACAGCCCCGGGTTCCGTAAATTCCCTTTGTAAAAGTACTGACACACCAACCTTACTACGGACAATCCTTAGGCGAAACCCCAGCAAAGGTTCCTCTGCAGTTCTGATGACTTTGTCTCTCTTGTTCCAGCGTGAGTTGGAACCAGAAACGGGTAAAAGGATGATTAGAGTGCTCTTTTCCCTAAAGGCCGTTGCCTCCCAATTTCCATCTCTATCACAGCCGCTTCTTCATACTCACTTCCTGAGCCTCCCTCCCTGGTTCCCTTCTGAGTGGAAGAAAGCTTCTTGCCCTCCTCTCCCATCACGCACCTGCCGTGGCCCCATTCCTTCTACTCCCACTTTCCCAACTCTTTGCCCAAACACAATATGCTGTGAAATCCTTAGTCCTGTCGGGTTGGGGGAGATGGGGGGGGTGCTGATATATATTTTTTCCCCCCACGGAGAGCCAGCAGGTTCGGATCTCACGGTCCCGGGTTGGGCCAGGTGTTTAGAGGAGTGAGTTGGACGAGCGTAAACGCTCAGCGCTCACCTAACTCAGCGCTGCTTAACACTTAGATCACCACACTCTTCCGGTCCTTACTTTGGGACAATTACTCCGGGAAACCTTGGGGACCTTTCCTTCTTCTGCAGCCTAAGATGATGCTTTGGAGCGTCAGGGCTGGGCTGAGACTTCACCCAAGACTGTCCCATTGCCGAACAACTGGTCGGTGAATTGCGGTTCATTTCTGTTGACTCAGCAATTGTTCGGATCTTAGAAACTCTGCTTCTGAAGGCATGACAAGTTAATTTCTTCCTTCCTTCCTTTTTTCCTTTTTTTTTTTTTTTTGTCTCCTCGAAATCAGGTGAAGACGTGGTTCCAAAACCGGCGAATGAAGCATAAAAAACAGTTGAGGAAAAGCCAAGACGAGCCCAAAGCTCCGGACGGCCCGGAGAGCCCGGAGAGCCCTCGCGGCTCCGAGGCCGCCGCAGCTGTAGCCGCCACCGAGGCCCGGCTGAACCTGCCCGCCGGTCCCTTCGTGCTGACCGAGCCAGAGGACGAGGTGGACATTGGGGACGAGGGGGAGCTCAGCGCCGGGGCGCACGTGCTGTGAGCTGGAGGGCTGGGAAGGGGCGGCAGTGGGGAGGAGACGGCTGGGGGTCCCCCGCGCAGTTCTCCAGACAGCAAGACTCGGACTGCGGCCCGCAGCGGCCTCGGAGTGGGCTCCAGGAAGACACAATCCACCTGCTAGCCTTGCACAACGCGCGGCGCCTGCCCTGCCCTGCCCTTCCCCGGCGAGCGGCGCCTGGCTTCGCTCCTTCTGCGTGCGGCGTCTGCAGCGACTGGGGTGCTGTTGGGTTGCTGCTCAAACTGAAGCCCCCACCAGGCGGACGTTTTCCTCCGTCGCGATCTCAGACTCTCCTCCCGCGCGTCCCAGCAGCCAGGTGCCAGCTCCGTTGCCCGGGTCTCACGCCCTCTCCACCCGGACTCTTTCTGCCTTTGCTTTGGCAGTCGCGTGGGCTGCGGCCAGGCGGCCAGGTGTCTGGGGCCTTGCGCTTTTCGCGGATCACAGCAGATCCGTCAAACTTCCAGGGCTGGACAGACGCGAGGCCCACCCCCGATTCCCCATCTTTAATTCAAAGATGGAGGGAACCCCCTGCTTCTCCAGGCCGCGCTTCCATTCATCCCCTCCCACGTCCCAGCAGGCTGCGGTCCACTGCAAGCGAATCTGCATCCCCGGTCACTTTGCCGAGCTTGAGGGGACCCCGGGCGCAGCCGGCCTTGCTCCGAGCGGAGCCCCAGCTCGGCGGTAAGCTTCGGGCAGAGAAACCCCCGGTAGCATTTCTGCTTCCCAAACTTGCTGCGCTCCTATCACTTCCGTGCCCCAGCGACGTCCACTATTTTCATAGCGAGTGTTCACCCGATTGTGCGCGGAAAAGCTCGTCCTCCGTGTGCTGTAGGGAATGTGAAGTTTGAGCAAGGTTAAGGGCAAAGTACAGCACGCCGTCGAATAGCTCAAAGCCTAGATTCGCGCGCCGGATTCGGGACTGTTTCGGTGGGGCGGGAGTGTTCCACGGGCTTTCGCATTACCGTTCTCCTTTTTTTCTAGAAAGGGTCTCATGTTCTCTAACGGGTTTGCAGTCTCTTTAGATAATAAAGGGCTTGCTGGGCAAAACTGGATTGTTGGTCACCGCATCCACTTACTACTGGCACATTTCTTCTCCGCCCTAGGCTGTTTCCTGTGTCTGCTGGAAATGAACTTGGCTAGGGACCTTTCGCAAACAGAGCCGGTTCGCCTCACTTCAATTTTTCCGTTTTTAATCCTAGACCTGGGGTCTTGGAAGAGGTCACCAACAGTGGCGCTCCCATCCCCCCCACTCCTCTCCTCTCCTCTCCTCTCCTCTCCTCTCCTCTCCTCTCCTCTCCTCTCCTCTCCTCTCCTCTCCTCTCCTCTCCTTCTCTCTCCTCTCCTTCTCTCTCCTCTTTCCTTTCCTTCTCTTCCATTTTTAATTTTTTTCTTTTCACCCTGAAGTGCTGACGGGATAAAGATCTCTTGATATTTGGAGTCTAAAACTACATTAAGGAAGTGTGCGACGACATTGCATCCCTGGACACTTACTAAATACAGCAGCTAAGCCAGAGGCGACTTGAGCTTCCCATCTTCCTTTCTCTGCCTGTGCTGTCGGAAGATGAGTGAGCCTGGAGAGGCTGGGGCGGAGTCCCGAGTCCCGGCCCTGCAGGGAGTGATAGTGAACCGTGATTGCACTGACTGCCGTGGTGAGAGCTTGGGGGACACGGAGTGGTTTTCCTCATTTCTCCAATGAGGGGATGAGTTCCAAAGAACCTTCAGTCGTAGGAACACAGCAGACTGCTTTGTAAAGCAGGTGATTTTTTTTTTTTTAAACCGCAGGTTTGTTGGGGGAAACCTTAGCAGAGGCTGAGCCAGAGAACCCTACCCAAAAAGCATCCCGGAGGATCTGAAACTGCTGCTGCCTACAACACAGGCATTGTATATTGCCTCAGTTTCCCAAACTGTCCTGCCATCAATCAATGAACTTGTGAGTCACGCTAATAAGGATTATTTTTCTCTTTCATGGATGAGAAAATTAAGGCTTGACACCATTAAATAATTTATCCCTGGATTCGGGTTTGCTGTCAGTCAGGGGGCATTAAAATCTCTCTTCTAACTCCTTTTTACTTTTCACATGCATCTTGTTATTATTACTTTAGAGATTTATTTTATTTAGAAAACAGAATCATAGAAAAGAGAGAGAGAGAGAATCTGCCATCCTCTGATATTCTCTTTCCACATGACTGCAATGGTCAGAGCCGGACCAATCCCGAGCCAGGAGCCAAGAGTCAGGAGCCAGGAGATTCTTCTGTGTCTCCCACATGGACGCAGGGTTCCAAGGACTTGAGCTGTCTTCTGTTGCTTTCCCAGTCTATAAGCAGGAAGCTGGATCAGAAGTGGAGCAGGTGGGACTACCACAGGTGTGGGTGTCTAGCTCTCTGAACCATGAAGCAAACCCTTCCTTCTTTTCCCCACCTCCCCTGATAACAATGCCTCCGATGGCCTGTAGTCTCCATCATTTCAAGAACATGGCTCTCATTTTGCTAGATTGTGTAGGTATGACTATTGGCAGCAAATTTGGGCCCAAAATTCTCCTGTCCATCTCGGATCACATAACAACAGTGTCATTTTAAGGTGGGAGTTTATGGCAAATGGCCAAAATGAAAGACTTAGTTGCAGAGAACAGAAAATGTGATTGGTGGATACAAATGTTACTGGTAACCTGAAAGGAAAGGTGAGTATTATGAGATCAAGTAGCTAAGTGGGGAAACCTCCACATCTCCTGGTTCCTGGAAACAACAAACAAACAAACAAAAATCCAGGCTATTATACAGGATCTAGAAAAATTCTTTTTTTTTTTTGATGATTTGTTTATTTTTTATTGGAAAGTCAGATATACAGAAAGAAGGAGAGACAGAGAGGAAGATCTTCCATCCACTGGTTCACTATGCAAGTGGCTGCAACAGCTGGAGCTGAGCTTATCTGAAGCCAGGAGCCAGGAGCGTCTTCCAGTCTCCCACATGGGAGCAGGGTCCCGAGGCTTTGGACCATCCTTTGTTGGTTTTCCCAGGCCACAAGCAGGAGGCTGGATGGGTAGTGGGGCCACAGGGACATGAACTCAACCCCCTTATGGGATCCCAGTGGACGCAAGCCACTAGGCTGCTGTGCCAGGCGCTAGGAAAAAAAAAATCTTAAAATGGGAAGAAATATTGTGTATCTGGGGTAATTGTGTGTGTGTACATATATGTATATGTGTGTGTAAGCATGCGCGCACAAAGTAGGTGCTGAACACAAACCCCAAAGCATCAGGCATTTATTATTATTTTTTTTTCCCCTGCTTTCACAAGATGCTACAATTTATTCCTGGTCTAAATGGCGCACGTTCAATGCATTCCACATACTTGAAAAAAGCAGGTAAATGGGACGCCCTGTCAGCATATAGGCAACTGTGTCTGGACTTTTAATTTATGAACATGAAATATGGGAGGATGTTCGTCCCTCCTCGCCCTGGACCTCTCGTTGTGGCCACTCCTCAGTGAGTAGGGAAGAGCTCGAACTGGGAACTAGCCACAAGAACTGTGGCTAAACACTCCCTGAAACTGGTGGCCAACAGTCCCAAAGCAGAGCTGTCCCTGCTGCTTTGCTTCTTGAAAACAGAGAATTACAAAGGAATGTGGTCAACAAACACAATGTAGTCTCAGTTGAATGTCACCCAGGTTTTGGTTTCGGCCTTCGGTACTCACTAAAGCTTCCAAAGGCTGAAGAGATGTTTTATGAATTCTCAATTCACCTTTTCTCAGTGGTAAAGATCTGATCCAGCTGTGTCCATTATGATATCTTAAGGGAAGACACATTGGTCTAAGTGTGATAATAAAAACTTATTCATTTGAAAGGCAAATTTGAGAGAGAGAAGAAATCTTTCATCTGCTGATTTGCTCCACAAGTGGCTGCAACGACTGGAGCTGGGGTGATCTACAGCCAGGAACCAGGAACTTTATCTGGATCTCCCACATGGTCTCAGGGAGCCAAGTGCTTTAGCCATCCTCTGCTGCTTTCCCAGGCCACAAGCAGAGAGCTGGATCAGAAGTGGAGCAGCTGGAACTTGAGATGGCATTCCTTTTGGATGCTGTTGCCACAGGCATTGGCTTTCCATTGATATGCCGCTGTGCCAGTGCCCCTGGGTAAAACACTTCAAAATAACCGAGGTGGGCAAGTAATACCAATCTAATTCCAATGGAATAAATAACCATCTCAGTATTTATCCTACTGTTTTGTTTCTGATGGACTTTGCTTCTTGGTTTCTCAGAGAGACAGGGTATTTCTGCTCACACGTCATAAGATGATAAGAAACGGACAAGTCGCCACCCAGCTCAGTATTAACTGATAATGGCATGAAGAAATGCCTAGTTGGAACCCATGACGCCACTTCCAAAGACAGAGTGCTGGCTTTCAGATGTGTATTTGACAGAAGGATGGAAATGGGAAAGCATCAAAGAAGCCACACCCCTTCCGAGCTAAGAGGATGGTGCTAGAAACATTAATTACAGCAGTGACATCTTAGTTTTCCTAAATGGGGCTTACTATAAGTGCAAACAGAAGAAATAAATGAAATATTTAATGCGTTCAGTTTTTGGCATCATATTCTGAAGAGGGCTTGGGCAAATAAGCATGTATCTAGTATGCAGGATCCTGGATAGGAAAGGGTATACAAAGCCACAGCTGAAGGAGCGTGCATTTTTGAGCCTGAAGGAGGGAAGTTTTGTAAGGGGGAGCAGGAGAGGAAGTTAGCTGTTATAACTGTATGGTGGAAGGGTTATGGATTACTAGGAGAACATCTATGCTGCCATACTAAAGCTGTCAGAACCAGAACCAGTGGGTGGGCCTGAAGGAGATTCGGGGCCACATTGGAGTGCCTCCAATAGATGAGGTGCTGTGACCATGCCAAGCACCTCTGAACTGGGAACGACACAGCACGGACTGGCACTGTGTCACTGAAGGTTAAGCCGGTGCCTCAAATCCAAGATTCCAGCCCCAGCCATGCC